GGGCGTCGTGGAGCTGCTGCTGCTGGGGGTGGCGTGGCTGGCGGGCCCGGCCCGCGGGCAGAACGAGACGGAGCCCATCGTACTTGAGGGCAAGTGCCTGGTGGTGTGCGACTCCAACCCCACGTCCGACCCCACGGGCACGGCTCTGGGCATCTCCGTGCGCTCCGGCAGCGCCAAGGTGGCCTTCTCGGCCATCAGGAGCACCAACCACGAGCCGTCCGAGATGAGTAATCGCACCATGATCATCTACTTCGACCAGGTGAGTGCTCCTTCCCGCCTGCCCCCATGCAGATTGGGGGGGAGGGGGGAGGCCTGACGCCCGATCCTCTCCCGGGTCTCTGCGGAGGCGCGGGGGCAAGGGTCCAGGCTGACGCCTGCCCTCCCTCCTGCGTCCCCGTCTCATTCTAGGTGCTAGTGAACATCGGCAACAACTTTGATTCCGAACGCAGCACTTTCATTGCCCCGCGCAAAGGAATCTACAGTTTTAACTTCCACGTGGTGAAAGTCTACAACAGACAGACCATCCAGGTCAGCCGCCGCCGCGGGGCCAGGGCCCGGCCTCAGCAGGGGGTTTCTAGCCGCGGGGTGTGGGGGCTGTGTGGGGGTAGGAGACAGAAGTGTCAGCGGCATGTGCCCAGGGCTGTTTGGAGGGGCGGGTGGCGGGGCCTCACAGTTCTGTGGCTTGGACTGTGCCCTGCTTCCTCTCCCGCCGGCCTTCGGGACCCAACCCCCTCCCCAGAGACAGTTGCCTGCGTCCTCCTTCTGAGCCCCTCCGATGAGGTTCCCCCCCTTCCGACGGGACTCCAGGGACTCCCCATAGTGTTTGTTAATAGCACCACAGACAGCTCCCGCATCCGGAAGCCTGGGAGGCGGGCCGCTCACCGCGTCTTCAGCACCACCACCCCTCAATCCAGTTTAGAAGCCAAGCAGGCGGTCTGTGCCCTTGCCTTCAGCACCACGGACAGGGTCACCGGCGTCCGGCTGGGGACCGACTCCGGGGTTTTGAACCAGGAGCTCAGAGCCGGGGCGGAGGGAAGGGTGGAGAGGAAAGGAAGAGGGCGTAGCTCTCCTTCCTTCTGTTTCCTGCCATGCCTTAGCCCACACTCGGCCAGCTTTCTAGGTCCCCGAAGGTGTCCAGGTCTCCGCCGGGCGGAGACAAAAGGAGGAACTCGCCGCTGGGTCGAGGGCGCCGGCCTCTGGCTGGCGATGCCGCCGTAAGGGCAAAGCCGGGCGGTGGCAGGCGAGAGTGGGTTTGGGGTGGGTATGGAGCCTGGGCTTGGAGAGGAAGGACAGAATGCAACTCGGCGCGAGATTTCCAATCAGCCAGAAACCCTGCCCCCGCTTTTGCGCTATGTCGAAGGCGGAGAGGAAGCCGGGTCCAGGAGGCACTGGGGTTTTTTTTTTTTTTTTATTTTCCCAAGGGCGCCGGGAGCAGAGTTGCCCGAGTTTTTCTCTGAGGCTGGGGGAGAGGGGAGAGAGACTGCCGGTCTCAGGGCTTGAGCCACTTGCGGGCTCATTAAACAGAAATTTCAGTAGGGATTCACTTGGCGCGCTCAGCTTGAGGAAACGGAATGAGGGCGACTCTCGATTCGGGGGCAGACCCTTCCTCTCAGCCAGATGCTGTCTGTCGCCCCCGCCGAACCCTCGGCAGATCAGCTGCCAGGCTGCTCCTTCTTCCCCTCTCCAGTCCTCCCTGGCCTTTAAGGCTGTTAGCCCAGCGGCGGAGGTTCGCAGCTGCACCGCCGCTTCGAGACCGCCTGGGCCGGCTCTGAAGCAGGCCTTCCTCTTTCTCAGGTGAGCCTCATGTTAAATGGGTGGCCGGTGATTTCAGCCTTCGCTGGTGACCAGGACGTGACCCGGGAGGCCGCCAGCAACGGAGTCCTAATCCAGATGGAGAAAGGCGACCGAGCATACCTCAAACTGGAGCGGGGGAACCTGATGGGGGGCTGGAAGTACTCGACCTTCTCCGGATTCCTGGTGTTTCCCCTCTGACTGGCTCATCGCCAGAATGGAGGCAGGGAGAGGGCGAAGGCAGGAGGGGAGTGAGAAAGAGGCCGAAATTGAGAGGGCGAGAAAGCTGCACGACTTGAAACTTCCTCCATGTTTCCCAGCTGCATCCGGGTAAAAGGTGCGCGCCGCGGTGGGACAGCATTGTTGTCTCCTCAGTAGGAGAAGTAAATTCCTCTTAGCTCTGCGCACTCGCATTTCCAAAAACAAACTCGCCTCCCCCACTCCAGTTGCGGTAATCATGAAAGAGGCTGCCTTGTCATTGTTTCTGACCCGCACCTTCATGTTCCCTACAATTTATTTAAAAGAAACTTTGTGTTTCACTGTAGAATGTGAAATATTTTTCTCCCCATTTGCCCTCTGAATTCTTCCACCTGCTGAAATCTAATATACCCCCCATGTTTTTAGTTTGAGGAAGGCTTAAGGTTTTTTTGTTTTTGGATGGGGGAGGTAGTTTTAATTTGGCAAATGTTACTCTTCTTAAAAGATGCTCAAGAGTCAATTAGCTGAAGATACTTTGTATCCTCGGATGCTTGGTGTCAGAGAAAGGACTCGTCTTTGTGGTGACTGGTTTAAAAATTACATATATAAATATGAATATATATCATTTGTACACGAAGAACTCTCCCCAGTGGAAACTG